CTAAAATATCAAAGGATTAACCCCAATATTCTAAAATATCAAACAACTACCCCAATATTCTAATATACCAAAGGATTACCCCAATATTCTAGAATATCAAACAACTACCCCAATATTCTAAAATATCAAAGGATTAACCCCAATATTCTAAAATATCAAACAACTACCCCAATATTCTAAGATATCAAAGGATTACCCCCAAAATTCTAAAATATCAAACAACTACACCAATATTCTAAGATATCAAAGGATTACCCCCAATATTCTAAAATATCAAACAACTACACCAGTATTCTAGAATATCAAACAACTACCCTAATATTCTAAAAAGTCTAAAAGGTCCACTGTCTTCTGATATTTTTAAATAAACACCTAACTTTTCTGAAAATCACAAATTCTTCGTGTAGAAGGAAAGGTATCCATTTTGTTTTAAAAAGACTGCCCCTGACTCTGTTTTACTGGTATGCCCTTACTTGGTAGCATATATATCTAAATGTTTATAATTAAAACATTTTAGTAATTTATCACTCAATAAAACTGAGAAAAGGTAACGGTCAACAACATTAAGAAACTACACTGTTGAAACATCAATAAAAAACTGTAAGGCTTGTCTTTAATGCAATATTATTATTGACAGTTTTCAATAGAGTAACTGTTGTTTGATAATTCAGTCATTATGTCTCAGCACTTCTCGTTATTCATTCCAGCATATTTTTAGCATGAATCAAAGTGTGAAAATAAAACCCAAAATAGCTAATGTGTACTTAAAGCTAAAGCCCTTCTGATTCCGTGATCCAGACTTGTGTTGGATTTCTTACTCTGAAATAATGATTGGCTCTTAAGTAACAGTTGTTGAAATAATGACTTTCAACTCTAAGAAACTAACTAACGTCACAACCACAGTCCATCTTTGCAAACAAACTTTAGAGAAGCCCGTTAAGGCATTTTATTTCACAACACAAATCAGACACATTCACACGAGATATAGAATAAGCAGTGTGCAAAATACAGACTACGTAACTAGCTCCTTTCAAAAAGGTAATAGCACTACAACTATACATATTGCACAAAAATCAGATATTTTAATGTTTACAATATGAAGTGAAGAAGAATATTTGCAGCTCATTGTTTTCTCGTAGATTCAAAAAAACATTTGTAAAATTTATTTGAACACGAGTTTCTTGATAGTTACTTAAAAAAACGAAACTGGAAATTAGTTGTTAAATAACAAGTAAAAAAAAAGTTTTTAAATTTTCTCTTTGAACATAAATTATCTTTTTTTTTATATATAAACTTCTCTGAAACATAAATTTTGTATGTTATTTTTAAATGTGAGAGACAATTAATGAAATTATACTTACAAACTGGTTCCACTTGCATCTTTATTAATTGTTGCAAGTGATCGGTATCATTGAGGAGCTGTTCTTCACGGAAATCAAAATCTACACTTAAAAATGTCCATCACCTAAGCTTGAAAATTTATGATAGTTAAACATACTGTGGAGTCAATCAAACAGTATATTTCTGTTCCTATAAACATGCAAATGTCAGAATTTAAAACGTGATTGTTCAGAATATTTTACAGTTTAATCTATCTCCCTTTCCAACAGAGAATGTTGACAGGGAAAGATATTACATTAGAGCTAGCATGAGTCATTAAAGATATTTTCATATTTACACCCACTCAGTTCTCATCGAAACTGCTAGAAAAAATGATTAAATCAACTAAAACTATCCAAAAAAAAGGGCTTCCTGTATCATTGATTATCTTGTGATACGTGTAGTAATACTCATTTAAAGAAAGAACTACAAAATACAGTGTTGTACTCTTTATTAATTCACTTTCACTTATTTCCGAATAATGTCAAAAGTGATGGTCAAGTACATTGACCCAAACATAACTTTGGACATTTCAGAACACTAATTTAATTTACCTAATTTCAACAAGCTGAAATAATAAATATTTATTGTTGTTCTATTTCCAATTCAGTACATACACTCAAATATATAGCCATCCATGCAATCTCGTTGCCCTGGGGAAAAATTTCATACACATAAAGTATTTTTCCTTATGCAGAGGTATCCCACAGCGAACAAGTACACACATACCTGTCCGTACACACTTGGTTGTCAACAATATTGAATGCAAAATGTCTCTAGAATATTACAAAAACACTGAAAATCTGCACAGAAGCTCGATGTTTTAGAAGTTCTGCAGTATTTTCCTACAGACTTTGTAATATAAACTTAACTGAATTTTTACTAAGCAGCGTTATCTGGAGCTGATACACCTGCAGATCTTACGAGTTTCAAATAATTACTTACTTTATTCTTTACTTATGTACATGATGTTTCAGACAGTTAAGCATATATTTCAGAAAGAAAACAAATAATCCCGTACTCCTGTAAAGTCATGTCATAACTTGTTTTTGCTAATACAAGTAAACAAGACTGCCTAATTACCACATTACGGTGTTCTTACACTATTCAAGATTTATAAAACTATTGTACGGAGATACACTAATCAGATTGTTGACAAAATCTGGTGTTCAAAAGCTACGATCAACTATAAGAACAAAGAGGTGTATTAAAATGCTTGAGTGGGTCCCTTCTTTCTATCTAAAGATTCATTTTAAAACTTTTGTTTGGGGGGGGGGTTTGAAAGAAAAAACAAATATCTGTAAATAAAGTTGCGAAACTACCAAGTATTATTAAATACTTAATAATAGTTCAGCAATATTATATCATTTCGAGATTGTTTTATTGTTGTTTTCAGGGGTGTGAGGGATTAGGGGAGGGACAGAAGAATAATTTTGATTCATTTTGAAACTTTTCTTTGGGGGGTGGGGGGTAAAAAAAAAGATTTGAAAGAAAAATAAACATCAGTAGTTAAAACTTTACCTATTGTAAAAGTACCAAAACAAATAGAAAATGTTTAAATGTGGTTAAACAAGATTAGCTCAGTTCAAGATTGTTTTTTTTTTCAGGGGTTGAGGGAGGGGCAGAAGAATAATTTCTAAACAACTTACTGAACCAATAGCTGAATTTTTGTGTTAAACTGTGCATAATTGAATCTCATAAACAGAAACAAAAATTAAATATTTCACACAGTACGTTGGTATCTTCTAGCATCAATCATCTTCATGACTTATTTCTCGCTGAGAAATTCTAGAATTACCACCGTGGTTTCTTGATTCCACGGTCTTGGAAATGCCTTCGGTCAGCCCTGTTTTAGTTACCCTGAGGAGAAAAGAAACCAAACACAAAGGGATTTAACATAGAATTTCTGATTTTTAACTTCCAAAGTCCTTTAACTTCATGATCTGTCACATTTTCTATTACTATGACAACCCAATAACTATAATTTCTAGGTGCTTATCCATAGTATCAATGTCCTAATCATTAAAAAACAAACCAGTGTTTAAACGACCTCTTTCCAACCCAAATAAAATAAGACTTCAAACCTATTATTAAATAAATTTCTAGGTGCTTATCTATAGTATCAATGTCCTAATCATTAAAAAAACAAACCAGTGTTTAGACGACCTCTTTCCAACCCAAATAAAATAAGACTTCAAACCTATTATTAATTATCTCTGGTAAAAATGTTGTCTTTTTTATATTTTTTTTCAATAGTTAAAAAAAGCTCAGTTTTTAAATTTAAGTACACTAAACTCTTTCCTTCTTTTTTAATTACAGAACCATAAAATTCGTCAAGCAAAGAATAATTATTTGCTGAAAAAAGCTGAAATGAAAAAAGCCCAAAATCATCCTGCTATCATTTAGTAGACTTTAAGCTTTTCGGAAGAGAAAGGTTCAATACATGATGTAGAAAATATTTATGACATCAAAGGACATGGGGAGAGAAATTAATTTTTTTTTCTTAAAATGTCTCTTAAGAATGAGAGTACGACAGTGTTTGTAACCATCAGTTTCAATATGACAACAGTATCCACCTGAATGAATCTA